TATAACCATGATGCCCTTAGGGAGGGGCCAGTCTCCTTCTCTTGACTTTCCCACACTCTGGTTGGGGGCTGAGGGGGTGCTTTCCCGGGAACCCCTCTTCCCCCTTGAAGCTCCATTCCAGAATCCTCCCCACTCATGTCTTCCATCACACCTTCACCTATAGAAACGCTTTCTTGTTTGAGATTCTGAACCTGGATGTAGAATTGTTCTCATCTGTAAATGTGCAATTGTATTCATGCACATTACACCTCATGGTTTTGTTTACTCTCTCCCTACATTTTCTTGCTATTTTATATTTCCTTTCCATTAAAAAAAAAACAATTTAAAATACTGGCTGTCCCCTTTTGCAAGTTTTGCTATCAATAATCACAAACCTGCAAGTGTGGTAGCATCTGGGTCTTTTCAAGTGTTATTTTGCAATGTAACAACATTCTGAGTGTATCATGCCAATGAAACTCTGCAGTCCCTGTTTTTCCAATAATGTACCCAGAACATTCCCCATTAGTCATGGTGCCATTCAGAAGACCTTGCAGCTTATCTTGGGATGTTTGGAAAAAGACCTCATCTTCATTTACCTATTGAAGTGGGGATGGGGGTGGGTGTTAAGAATGGAGCAGGCTCCATTTCTATTGCTGATTTTCAGATTCTGAACCTGTAAATATTCTGTAATTTTTCTACAATCCTCCAACAATAAGCTGCCTTTTCACCTTCTCATTTCCTCTTTCACATTATAAAAAAGTTCCCTTGAAAAGTTCACAGCAGAATTTGGTTTAGAGCCTTTAACTCAGCTGCAATTCTCACAAAAAACCCACTTCTGTTTTCAAAAAAGAGGGTCCTCTAGGAAGCAGGGGTCTTCTACAATGCATTCATGGGTCATTGAGGTTGCTTGTTGTTGAAAATAAGGAAAAAAATAAAGGGGAAAAAGTGCTAAAAATAGAAGATTAGCTGTTATACTCCAGGAACAGCAAGCAACTAAGAAAGCTTTAGGGTATAAAAATCCCCTTTAAATGCCTCAGCTAGATTAACTGAACCCATTTAGAGCCATCAGCATTTGATGAAAGCCATCATGGTATCATGCATATCATGAGAAATTATGTAGTATTGCATTACTTCTGCAATGACACAATGCACATGATGTCACTTGCCTTTCACAGATGCCCATAAATAAAGACCTTACAAGGATATGTAATTGCATATATGCATAGAGCGAGAAAGTGTGTGTGCTTTATTGCACATTGAACATTAGTCATCTAACTTTAAGATATGCCACAAGGTTATATATGCATTTCTAGTATGTAATTACAAACAAATGCACTGCCAACTGATACACACACACGCACACGCACACGCACATGGATGCCATGTGTGTGACACTCCCACAAATATTCCTCAATGAAGCAGATAAAAGAGGCTGATGATGTTGAGCCTCTCATGCAAATCAAGGCTTCTGCATTCACCGCACTGAATTCTTAGAGCAGATGTTTCCTTCCCCTAAAACACGTAGAGTGGTTGGATTGATGCAACTCGTTAAACTAGGTTAAAATGAGTTTGGTTCAGAGTTTTGAGGGGACTGTACTTATTGTCTTATTAAGTTGTTTAAATCAAGCCACCACATTAAGCCATACTAATAATTTGTTTGGGGCATAACCTATAATGTGAATATAGCAATTATGCAAGTATAACCCCAATTTAGGATTTAGCAAGCCATGTGAGCCCAGCCATCAATGAAATCAATATTTGATTATGGTCAGTATCCAGATGTAATCTGACCATCACATTTTCTAACCTTGATCTGCTCTATGACCCCGAGGAGACTAAGGGGGAAAATATCATCTAGTGAACTACTCCCTACTAAGGATCATTCAAACCAAGGATCCGACTCTAACAAATTTCTCAAATTCAGAAAACAGCTACCAGATGGTCTTCTACTTTATGAGTGGTCATAGACAGATCAATCTTTTGAGGGTGGAATAAGAGAACCTTCATAAGGCAGATCATGTTGCTGAGACAACTCTACGAGAATGATCTGTCCAAGGTGCTGACAATCTCTGCCTTAACTCTGCAGTCCCATATAATTGGATTTCACTTTGTCCTTTCAGTACCATTATACAGTGGCACCTCGGAGTACGTGCATATACGTTGCCGCGACTCTGGTTGCATCTCGAGATGGTCCCAAGTCGAGGTAAAGTGTCCCACAGGGTTAAATG